TCCCTCCCTCCCTCCCTCCCTCCCTCCTTCCTTCCTTCCTTCCTTCCTTCCTTCCTTCCTTCCTTCCTTCCTTCCTCTCTCTCTGTCTCCCTCTCTCTCTGTCTCTCTAAAAATCAATGAACATGTTCATGGGTAAGGATTCTTTAAAAAAAGGATCTTTGGTATACAAGTCTTTGATAATGCTGAGCAGATACAGCAGAGATAGCCCAGAAAATTCTAAAAATATCAAGAGGCTGCTTAGGAAAACTCACTTTCCTCCCCATACCCACTTTCAAAACTCAGATTTTTTTTAAGTGGGGGGAGAGTCAGATTAGGAATTCAGCGTGACTTAAGCTATCGTTATAACAAAGGTCAAACATTCCAAGGTCTGAAATAGCAAATTAATATCTAACTGAAGGAATACGTTTTATCGCCACACAGACCCACCAGGACTTTACTGGAGACAGAGAGCTGGAGCTAAGGGGGCCTTACAAATCAGTCCTACAACACCCCTGACACACCATTTAAACACTGATGGTGACAAGGATTTGGATGCTGGAGCTGGTAGGAAGGTCAATCTCTCTGACCTCTGACAACTTCTGAGGCCCAGCTGTGCCATTTATACCAGACTATACAACACACCTGCTCCCTCCTCCCATGAAAAATCCCATTAAGTATCTGTTTACAGTAACCTTCCCCCCACCCCTTTCCTACCGGTCTTCTCTTCCCTAGGCTAAATATTCCTGTGTTTTGCCAACGTTCTAGGAGCTACTTTGTCCTGCTCCAGGAGCTACACTAATGCTCTGCCTCCAGGGTCAGTCAGTCCAGGGAACTCAGGTGGGTAGGAAAGTACGCACATAATTCTTTCTTCTTTCTAAGGCCAAGCCCAGCTTCCCCTGGGCTCCCCCCACCGCCCCGTTCTACACTCAGCCCTTTCCTCCCACTCAAGAGAACCCACACTGAATGAAGGAAAGCCTTCTTCCTACGTCTCTCGAGCAAGCAGGTGGTCTTAAAGCCCAAGATCTGACACTTCATACCCATTAGGGTGGTTCGAATAATCAAAGAAAAGAAAACAGGAATTGGCAAAGACGTAGAGAAACTGAAACTCTTGTATGTTGCTGTAAAATGGTATAGTTGCTACGGGAAAAAATTCCTCAAACAGTTAAACAAAGCCCTAGCTGGTGTAGCTCGGTTAGCTGGACATCGTCTGGTGCACCGAAGGGTCACTGGTTTGATTCCCAGTCTGGGCACATGCCCAGGTTGCAGGCTCGATCCCCTGTTGGAGCATGTACAGGAGGCAACCAATCAATGTTTCTCTCTCACATCAATGTTTCTCTCTCTCTCTCTCTCCCCCTCTCTCTTCCTCTCTCTGTAAAAATCAATTAAAACATATTTTTAAAATAAAAATTAAACACAGAATTACCATATGATCCAGCAATTACACTTCTGGGTATATATGCAAAAGAAGTGAAAGCAGGGACTCAAACAGGTATTTGTACACCTGCAGCCACAGCAGCATTGCTCACAACAGCTAGAAGGTGGCAACAACCCCTGTCCACTGACAGATGAATGAATACAAATGTGATTTACACGTACAATGGGCCATATTCAGCCTTAGAAAGGAGAGAGGTCTGACACAAGCTACAGTATGGATGAACTGTGAAGATACTACTTTAAGTGAAATAACCAGTCACAGAAGGGAAATACTATATGATTCCTTTTACTTGAGGTTCCTAGAGTAGTCAAATCTGTAGAGACAGAAAGTAGAATAGCAGTTGCCAGGGGCTGGGGAGAGGGGGTGGGGAGTCGGCGTTTAAAGGGGCGAAGTCAGCTTGGGGAAATGAAAAGGTTCTGGAGGTGAATGTGAGGGCGGCTATACAACAGAGGAAATGTGGATACCACCACTGAGCACCCTCAGAAATAAGTAAAATGGCAAGTTCCATATCATATATTTTTACAATAAACTTCTTTTCATTAATAAATTTCGAAATGTCAGGTTCTAACCAGGAACAAGCCCCTACTCCTGGTCTCTTTCTGGGCTGCCTCCCACCTGTCCTCTTCCTCCCAGCAGCCCCAGCTCCGCCAAGGAAAGACGATCTCTTCAAGTCCCACTTCATGTAATGTGGAAAACTGTTTTTGTTTATATCCTTTAAATAATATGCTCTCAAGAAGAAATACATCTAAAACCAAGAAACAGAACCCATCACATTTAAAACTTATACCTGTATTTCTTCTTCTGAAGCTGCCATATCATCGTTTCACTCAGCTCAGTGGCGTAAATTTCTTCAAAGTGAGGGCTCATGATTTTTGTGACTTCTCCGTCTCCAGCACCTAAGTCGAGAAGTCTATGGGTTTTCCAGTCTGGGTTAATTCTAAGCAGTCTCTGAAACTGATCTGAGGAAAATACAAACATTGAGCCTCTTCCGAGCAACCTGGAAGAACAAGCATGGAAGAGTGGACAGGTCAGCACCGCCCACACGCATACACACAGCGGCCATGGTGGCTCAGCACCAGCAGCTCTTTGAATTTACAAAACGTTTCGTTTTTATGCTTATGTGATTAAAATATATAACATATTATATACGATTTATATGATGATTAAAAAAGCAAAGTTAGTAAAATAAGGAAACACCTCCAGGTAGCATCATTTGTCTTTGAGGTTGCAAATAATATCCCAAAAGGAGTGGGGTAAGGAGAGGAATAAAAGATGGAAAGGGAAAAAGAGAGGGGAGGGAAGGGAAGGAAAAAAACATGAAAAGAAAAGATGAATGGGAAGGTCTTATGTTAAAACAGGAAGGAAAGATGGAAGAAGTAACAGAAAACATGTTTATCGGATTAAAAAGATGACAGACCAGCAGAAACAGATTCACACTACTAGCCAATAACACTAAGCAGAAAAAATAAGTATGAAGAGAAAGCCTTTATGAAACTAAACACTCAGTAAGAAAAGCAACCGTTTTAGTATGATAGATTTTTAAGAGAAAAGGGGAAAAGAGTGGTCCTTGTGATAACACTTAATTTGCATTAAGAAAGTAGATTCACACTTGTGTCAATTTAGGTTATACAATTGGCTGGGTCCTATTATTTCTAAAGATCCTAAAGGAACACTCAAAATCATAGGAATGCCTTTGAAAACAAGAGACTGAGAGGAGTTAAAAGGGAAACAAGCCAAACCAGTGTGACTCAGTGGCTGAGCGTTGACCTATGAACCAGGAGGTCATGGTTCAATTCCCGGTCAGGGCACATGCCCCGGTTTCGGGCTCGATCCCCAGCAGGAGGCGTGCAGGAGGCAGCCGATCAATGACTCCCTCATCATGGATGTTTCTCTCTCTCTCCCTCTCCCGTCCTCTCTCTGAAATCAATAAAAACATATTTTTTAAAAATTAAATAAAATGCTACAAATAAGTTTTAAAATAAAAGTAAAGTAAAAGGGAAACAAAGAAAACCTTTGGAAAAGCCACAGATCATACCAAGTCCCATGGAAGCATCAAGTGGAAGCACGTACCCTTGATTTAGAACCGGTTTTCCAGCTCTCAAGTCCTCGTTTGTTTAGAGAAGGGGCCCTCGAATGTCTTTAAATGAAGTGGAACCAACAGACAGTACAGAATGATACAGGAGCTGCTGCGGCCACCCACCCAGGGCCTTTCTGCACAGCTGACCAGCTCCCAAGCCACTCTCGCCACAGACCAGGGAACCAGTCTGAAAACCACTGGTCTAAGAAATGGCAGGGACCCTGCACTCGACTGCCACTTCCTGGCAATAACCACGAGGTACAATCCATCTGTTATACAGGAGCTGGAGTGATGCAGGCAACTTGGTGCTCCTGGTAAGGCGAATTTCAAGAAAAATTTTTAATTGTGGAGTTCATATAACAAACTCCCCTTCCCATTTTCCCACTAAGGCCATAGGAGAGTTTAACCAAATCTAATAGGGTATTAACAGTAAATCTCCTGCCCCACAGAAATGCTAAAAAATGGGGGAGGGGGCTCAGAGAGGAATCTCGACAACAGCTAGCCAGAGAAAACAATGTCTTGGAAAGACAAGTTTTGTTTTTAAATTTAAATTTTATTTTTTTAATTGATTTTTAGAGAAAGAGAAAGGAGGGAGGGAGAGAGAGAGAAAACATCGTGAGAGAAACATCACTCAGTTACCCCGTACATGCCCTGACCGGGAACTGAACCCACAGCCTTCTGGTGTATAAGACAATGATTCAACCAACTGAATCACCTGCCCAGGGCAAGACAAGTTGTTTTTAATCGTCAGTTGTTCTTATGTTCTAGTGGTAAAACAGGCTGCAGAGAGCAAATCAGAGAAAAGGAACTAGACTTACTCAAAGAGCTATACAGAGTTTCACACAGGAGCCGGTCAGAGCAAGGAGCTCACAGAGGTCAGGGGCAGCATGCCTGGGATGCACCTGGCAAGTGTTGGTGCTGACTTGCATAGGAGCAAAAGTCAGTTGCAAAATAGCCCTTCGCCTTAAATTGTTTCAGTTATAAAATAATACGCTTCCCTAGCCATCTCCTTGGGATGTAATAAACCTTAACAGGATTATCGTAACATTCTAGAGCTAGAGGTCACCTGAGGTTCGAGCTCTGGACATTCTCTCACTGGTCTACATCTAAAGGCACCAGAGAGAGAAGCACTGCCCTACTGCCAAAGATCATGACCAACTGAGGCTCCGCAAAAAGATTAAAACTGTCTAAAATAAATAAAAATTAATGGAGCCCAGTGTTTCTCAACCAAGACCAACTTTGCTCTCTAAGAGTCAAAGTAGGTGGTGGGCAAGACCAGAAAAGTCAGACTTCCTGCAACCTGTGGGACAGTCCCACACAATGAAGAATTATCCTGCTTAAGATGCGGAGACGCTGACCCAGCTCAACACCAGGCTTCCAGCAAGCACATGCCATGGAGAGGTCTGGTGCTCTAATTTGCCTTTAATTCCCAAAGTCAGTGACGTCCATGTGACTTTTCAGTGTTGAACAAGCATCCTAGGTTCTCTGGCCACAGTAGTCTCAGTCCCTTCCAGACTCAGAGTCTAGGGAGGAGGGGGCCTCCTGGCAAATGTCCTCCTTATGAAACAGACGCCTCACAGCAGTCAGATCTCGCCTCACTCGGCCTTCCCCTCCATCACAAAGGAGGGCTGATAAGTGCCCCCACTTCTTCAGTCAAGAAGGTGCCACGGTAATTATTTCTGAGAGAGATGCCCACTCATGGTAACAGTCTACCAGTGCCATGGGTGGAAGTACCAATGGGCTCCACGAGAGCTTTCAGCAGAGAGTAAGGATACAGGGCAAGAGTGGTTTTGGTTTTGGTTGTGGTTGTGGTTGTGGTTGTGGTTGTGGTTGTGGGCGGGGAGAGGATGAGGGAAAAAAGAAGGCAGTGAAAAGCTGCAGATGAGGGTTATTTCCTGCACTGCCTCTCGGAGCAAACTGTGAAATCCCATAGCAGGGAATTTTAACCAGAATCCAATGGGGTAGAAGTAGGGGGAAGTAGGTCGGAGTTTGAAATCTCCCTAAATTATATGCAAAATGTTGAACATAAGGACTATGAAGAGAGGATTCCTACCTTTTATCACTGTCAAAGAGGTACAGGGCCCGGAAAGGTTAAAAATCAATGCTACAGAGACTTGTCTGCTTCTCAATGAAAAGACAAATGGAATAGGACAGAAACTCAATGCAGCCAATTTTAGAAACAAAATGTCAGATCAAGTTGTATAAATTCAACTACCAGTACAAAAATAACAACTGTCTGCTGAAGAAACCTCAGCCAATTTCACACAAGCAATGAAGAAAACCAAGTAAGAAACCTTAAGAAATGACTCAAGGTGCCTAAAAACATATTTAAGGACCAGATGATAAACTGGGGATCCAGACATTCAGCAGACGCTGGCTCCAAACCTCAGTGGGGGGAAAAACCCACAAAAAAACAGTGGCTGTAAGTGGTCCCACAGGCTTTTAAAGCTGAGCTCTCCTGCTTTTCTCCTTGGCATTCTAGATGCCTGGGCCTTGAGATGTTTGAAAATGTGGCTGAGAAAGAATAAAAAATATCCCTAGAGCTTTTCCCATAGATTTAAACGAGAGAACCGCTCTAGGGATAGAGAATTCCATAATAAGTTTACAGAAGTCAGCTGAGCTAGACGTCATGGAAGAAGAGATCCAGGACCCTTCACTGAAACAAGCCATCACCCACTGCTGGGGTGAATTAGGTGCCCCAGGAACTTGCTCCTGGGACATGGGCTAAGGCCAAGCTCTGACTCCTCAGCCCGTCTATGTTGAGGGCTTGGGGTCAGGTATCGGGCTACTCCCTCTGTACATCAGCAGCAGCAACAGCATCACCTGTTAGGAATGGAGCCTCTCGGGCCCCACCTGAGATCTGCTGACTCAGAGTCTGCACTCCAGCCCAATCCCCGTGACTCCTGCACAGCAAAGCTGGGAGGCACTGCTCTAAGTGCCTCCCATCAGAGAAATGCAGACCAGGACAGGTGAGGCTGCTTTTCACATTATGGTGAATGCAAGAGGCGTAACTGCAGAGGCCGAGACACCGGACGCACGGCCAAGGATCAACTGGCAGCAGTGCTGTCGCTGCGAGGTGGTCCACGTCCTGAACAAGACCCCTTCTCTTTTTCATTCTCTTTTTCTAAACATAAGGATAAAGGAAAAACATCCAAGATTCACTTACCCATTGATAGATGTTCTAGACATAAACAGACTAAAAACAGATGACACAAAGGAGTGATACAATTGGATAAACAGCCAGCCCGATTTCTCAATGCTGTTGTTTAAGAAGATCTGCGTTCCTTGATCGAGGTAACTCTGAACAAACACAGCTTGCAGTGATTCGCATAATTTCTCTCTGTTGCACGCATACCACTAAAAAAAGAAGAAAGAAAAAAAAATGAGAACACAACTGTACCCTCCGGACCCCGAGATCAGGGAAGACTGCTGGCCTCCCCTGCACTGAGATGCAACATAGAAGCCATAACCAGAGTCATGAACCTTGGTTTCAGGTAATAGAAAGTCACCTGATGCAATGATTTAACTCAAAACCACCAAACAAATCAATGGCAGGATGAGCAGCCACATTTAACCCTCTAGGGACCAGAGGCTGCCGCCTTTCTTCCTGTGGGCTATGCACACCTTTAAAACACTGAGGTGTGCTCTGCCAGGCACACGGCATCCTCAGACAGGGCGCAATGTGCTTGCGAAACAGCAGAAAGTACTCAAGGTCGCACCGCGATCAACGGGAACACAAAGTTAACATGCCAAGAGCCAGGTTTCCAGGAATACACTTTTCAGAACAAAATTCAATACTTCCAGCAGTGGATGCAATTTAATCTCCCACAATAAATGCTTTCCACTTGCACTTAGAGTTAGTGAACCAGGGAAGGTGACGCAGACAGCAGGGAGCATCGCTGCAGAGTCAGCCCCACGATCACATCCTGGCTCTGCCATTCCTTTTCTCTATTATTTTTTTTAATTGATTTTTAGAGAGAGAGGAAAGGAGAGGGGAAGAGGAAGGGGGAGAGGGAGGGGGAGAGGGAGAGAGGAAAGGGGAAGAAAGAAAGACATGGATGTGAGAGCAAAACATTCATCGGCCGCTGCCTCCTGCACACTCCCTACCGGGACTGAGCCCGAACCCTGACTGGGAACTTTCTGTGCACAGGAGGACACCTGGCTGCTGAGCCACACTGGCCAGGGCTGGCTCTGCCATTCTTGCGTGAGCTCAGACAACTCACTTAATCGCTGAGCCTATTTTCATTCATCTGTAGACTAGAACCGTTACTAGTATCTATACTGGTACTGGGGGGATTAAACAAGATGATGCAGGCAAATCCTCAGCCTAGAACTAGACACACAGGAGAATCCTGAAAGACAGCAATGAGACTCCTCTAACTCGGCCTGATAAAGAAGAGTGAGCCCATTAAGTACAATGACAGTGACGTAACCCGCTGCTATTACTTCATTATCTGTTAAAAAAAATCAATTTTTTCCCCAATAAGGAACCAAAAGTAACTTGTTTCCCCTAACAGGACCATGTATCAGCTGTCGGTGCCCCATAACTGCCTGCACAACTGGTGGGCTGATCTTAATTATCCCACGCTCACTAAATATGAATGAAATCTTGGGTAGTTATAAACCAATACAAATTAGTAAACAGGCACATTAAAATTTCAAAGACTGACTCAATCTTTTACAAATCTTTCCAATTGTTGACTGATTTGTGTTAATTTATCATTTAAACACAGTTAACAAAGCTGCTTGAACTTGAAGATGAATTGTTTTTACCACTCTATGTGACAGGCCAGATCTGAAGCTTCTTACAGTCAGGCCTACACTTTTTTCCTTGGTCTAAAAATGTTCACTGGGGGTGGCTCAGCGGTGGAGCATCGACCTAGGATCCAGGGAACGGTGGTTCAATTCCCGGTCAGGACACCTGCCTGGGCTGCGGGCTCTATCCCCAGTCGGGAGGGTGCAGGAGGCAGCTGATCAATGACACTCTCATCGTTGATGTTTCTCTCTCTCTCTCCCCCTCTCCCTTCCGCTCTCTAAAATCAATAAAAATATTTTTTTAAAAAATAAAAATGTTCACCCTTAAACATTAACTAGTTCTTAATATTCACTATGCCTCAAGGTATAATCAGTGCAGGTCATAAAGCCTTTTTTATTCTCGTGACCTCCCTGTGCACATTCTGAACTCTGTAATACTAACACCACTCTGGCATTTATTTATTTTTTGTTCTCTGAAATGACTAGTCGAGATGAAAGCCATCTCCTCGGTAATAGGCAATCAGGTACATTCTATTAATGTGGGCAAGAAGTCCTTCAGGTGAGACCGAGGGGCTAAGATAAGAAATCCTTGGCATCCACTTGAAAATGGAAAACAGAACAACAGTGGACTCTGACTTCCAGAACTAAGCGAGCAGCAGCACCATTAACCACAAATACTGCTTTCAAATGCCAAAAGGAAAACTCAGGTTTTAACACCATTTCTCTCAGTTCATCAACATTAACACAGGCGCTTAAACCTTTACTGCCACATGTGACTTTCAGAAAGGAAGCCGCTTACTAAACAAAATGTGCCACGGAATCAGGAGAAAAGCCCTCTCTTCAAAGCTGAGGGTTGAAGCCCATGTTCCTCCTGACCACGTGTGTGATGCAAGCGTCAACTCCATGCAGCTTTCTTCACATCACCAAAAAGTGGGGACAACTAGTGACCATCAACTGATGGACCCACAGATGTGATTCATCCATACAACAATATATTTGTGTATATTACTCAACCATAAAAAAGAAATACCAATTCATGAAATAACATGAACTTTGAAAATATTATGCTAAGTGAGATAATCCAGTCACAAAAGGCCACAATTTATGACTTCAGAATAGGCAAATCCAGAGACAGAAAGCAGATTGTGAGGGCCAAGGGCTGGGGGGAGGGGGGGGCACATAGAGTGTCTGCTAATGAGCATGGGGTTGCTTTTTGGGGTGATGGAAATCTTCTGAAATTGGAGAGTGATGACTGCACAACTCTGTATGTACAGTACTAAAAACCACTGGAGCGTACATTTTAAAAGGATGGATTTTATGGTACGTGAAGTATATCTCAATAAAGCTATTATTTTTTAAAAAACACATATACATACACATATCTAAATTTTACTCTTCCAGAAATTAAAAGTATTTTGAAATTTTAAGTAGCCAAGCAACTTCTTTAAAAATGCAAATTTTTTAAAAATAAGTTTTTATTCTGCTTCACAGAAGTCTTAGGATAAAATCCAAAATGCTCCATCTCCAAGAGTTTTGCTTAAACCCAATTCTGCAAACAGTGGCTCGATCCCCCGCCCACCACAGAACTGTGTTACCATGAGCAAGAAAGAAGGCCACTGACTGAGCGCCCACCTGTGCCAGGTACCCAGCCGAGCACCTCCTAGCTCCTGAGAAATGGGCAGCCTGGGGGCCCTGAGCAGCTCCCACCGATTCAAGTTCCTATTCCAGGTACATGTTTTATAAGGAGTTTCTTTCAAAGAAGCTTCTCTTCACCTCTACCCAGTGTGTCTGCTTGACATTCACTTTCAAAGAAAAGCAGGACTATTTTGCCAATTAAACTGGACTGGATGTGTTTAGAGGAAATGGAGCCTGATCTAGAGGGCAACTGAATTACTAGAGTGTTCTCAGCTGAACACTCTGGCACCTGGGCCAGGGCCTCCTTGTCACAGGCCACCCTGTGCCCTGCAGGGTATTGAGCAGCAGCCCTGGCCTCTACCCCCCAGATGCCAGTAGCAGCCCTCCTTGTGACACCCAAATACTCCAGACATTGCCAAGTTCCCCAGGGGGCAGAATCGCACTGCTTAGAGCGCTCCACGGGCTTACACAGAAAAATCATCGCTCTGACTTCCCAGTAGTTTCCTGACTACCTAAGTTTAACAGTGGCCTCAGGAACTCATGCTCCAGAGGGGGAATCAGAAACCAAGAGAAACGAGCAATGGGATTATGATCTTGGCCAGGGTTAAGTGAGCAGCCACCTTGCCCTTAAGGCGAGACGCTGACTAGAGAGAACAGCACGGAGGGAGCCCCTGCAACCCCTGGCAGTGCCCCTGGAGCTCCCGCTGGACAGCCAGTCTTTGATGGACAGCTGTAATGAGCTCGCAGCACTGGGTGGGGGGACCTGTCTGCAGGTCCCTGTGCCCTGTCAAGCAGGCAAGTGCTCTAAATGTGTGCCCTTCACAGACCACAGAGACAAAGGTGGGTAGATAAGAGCAGGGTATTGTGCTTGTTAAACCTTCACACTGGAAGGACCAGATGCTGGGTTGGAGCCCCATCTGGAGACCAGTGTCTGAAAAAGCCCCGTCCTGGCATCTTTCTCTAAAGTTCACTCCAACTTTGTTCAATCTAAATAAGTAAATCTTTTAAATAACAAACACATCAACCCAGAGTCATGCTCTGCAGACACCTGCTGATGCCAGGTATAAAGCAGGGTGTGATAACTAAACCTAACGTCTTCTGAGAATGACAGCAACTAGCAGGGTTCACCCCACCTGCAACAAGACTGCAGGCACAGTAATAGCCAAACAATAAACAGCCGGATCAGGCTGACGACAGGCAGCTGGGTGTGTGCTGGGTGCTATTAATCAAAGCAGCGAAGTACTGACTGCAGAAGTACTCCTTCAAAGTAGAGATGCAAATTTCCTATAAAATTATACCTGCTTATCAGCTGAGGGATCCAGTTACACATTTTTCTGAAATTATTTTTTTGGAGTTCCTCAACTAGTCAAACATGAGCTGTATGATATAATGGTCTTTCATTCCAAAATATAAAGGATTCAAGCACAGTAGAACTAGAAAATTATCTTTAAAAACCAACTTCCTGATTTTTGGTAATGTGGTATAATAAAAAATAAATATTTGGTCTTTATCGCCAGTTCCAGGCAGAGCCCCTAAAATATCTTGAGTGTTAAGAGCAACTTCTGTGAGCTAATGAGATGGAAGGTGGAACTCTCAAGGCCAATGACTTAAATCACACCTAATTATGAAGCTTCCACAAGTCCTAGACAACAGGGCTCTGGGAACTGTGCGCTGGGGAACACACTGGGGAACACACTGTGAGTTGGGAGGGTGGTGCGCCTCACAGGCATGGCCGCTCTGCCCTCCCCCAGTTCCCCCCCCTCCCCTCGGTGTCGCCAGTTTGGCTGTTTCTGAGTTGAATCCTTTATAATAAATCAGTAAACATAAGTAAAGTGTTTTCTTATACTCTTTGTGAGTCTCTCTCGCAAATTACCTAACCTAGGGGTCCCCAGACTGCAGCTAAGTGGCCCGTGACCGGCGGCCAGCACCTGAAGTGAGGGTAGTCTGTGAACGGCCATGAACTCCAGTCACTAGTGTCCGAACAGAAC